GCACCGCCTCAGACAGAACAGTTGTCAATATTGAAAAGGGGGTGCGGGGATGCATCGTCGAGTCATAGAAGATGCCTACTATGCAGGTGGTGCAAGATTTCCTCCATCCACAGTAGGGCCTTTGTTCTGGCGGTTGGCTTAACCAGAATTCCCCTATGAAAGTTGAGTACCCGGCGTTTCCGTGGCTTGCTGTGTGCACGACTCCACTCCATTCCCTCCACACCTTGTGCTCCACGGTGGGTCGAGGACATTCACAGCTGAAGGTTCGGGATTCAGGGTCCTGACTCAATGTGCACAATTTCGGCATCATGAAATGTCCAAAACATTCTGACCAGCCATTCTATGATCATTCAGGCCTAGATATGACGTTGCAGTCATCTCTTCCCCTGACTGACACACAAGTGCTCAACCCCAGTAGGACATCAGTTGGGCGTTAACCAGTATTGGCCAATCGACCTTTACATTGCCAGTTAGGACCCTGATGAGGGTAGATTCATGGGCCTTCACGATCTAACAGCCCATCCTGGTACGCAGGCTTGCATGCGATTCACAACATCTACTCAAAGGCACTTTCAAACACCTTGAGCATGAGACTGTGCTTTGATATGGATTGCTGAGCCATGGACGCTTCAAACAAGATGTCTATGGAATCTGTAACTCGACCATGACGAGAGCGCAAATTGCGACTTGGGGTGGGTCGCGGGTGTTGGGGGTGTTATCTACAAAAACTTTGAAGTTTCTAGTCTACGCATTGTCCCAGACGACCTAAGGGGACCGAAGCAAGCATGAACATGTTGAAGGGATTTCCCATATCACTCCGGACTACGAAGAGATAGTCCAATGCCATGGGCAATCTCACCAGACAACGAACGCTTTTAATTAGGTTGGTGTGTTACCTGAAAATGAACCCTCAACCCAAGTTACTCAAGCCTCAACGGAACCCTCATCTCTAAACCCAGACCCCTAAACCCTGGAGTCTTAATTCTTAACATTCAACACCCCACTTAAACCCTAAACCTTCATCATGCCCTGCGGGGACAAGTTCCCGGCATCTGCAGAAAGAGGAGCCGAACCGGCGTGCCGCCTGCGGGCCACTGTGCGAACCCCACATACATTGTGTATTATGTGTATATATATATATACGTATGTATATGCGTAATGGTTCTGCTCGCTCATGCATATGTTTCAAAATTTACGGGTGCCATGGGCGCCCAAGGCATATATGGATTAGGGGGACCCCCACCCTGTAATGGTGGTATAGAAGGAATCTACGAGTCTTATAAGAGGATCCTAATATAATTGCTGTTGTTGCTTATTATCATTATTCTTGGTGGGGGGGTCCACCTAATATAGAGAGATTATAAGGAGACTATGTGGGCCCCCCTAAACCCTAAACCCTAAGCCCCAAACCCTAAACCGTAAACCCTAAACCCCTCCAACTGTATGTTTGATAGAAACGTGTTGAACTCCTCCTGCGGGCCAGCCATGAATTCAGCTGGCCCGTTGCAGCTTACAGTGCTCACCACTGCCAGTCGGGGTTTAGGGTTTAGTGTATAGCCTCTCAAGCCCCAGACCCTGCAAAAAGCTAAAGGGGTCTAAAGACCTAGAATAGATTCTGGGGTATGCTATAGCCACTCTGGTCATGCAAGGACCATTCAGCAATTTCTAATGCTTGCTTGAGTCGTATACAACCCACGAAACCCCAAACCCTAAACTCGCAAAGGGGCATCTTTTGAGTGAGCCGAACCCTCCAGAATACACCCTTGAGTTTGCCGGTTCCTGTATAGGGTTTAGGGTGTATGGCTTTGGGGTTTGCTTGGAGCTGATAGGGCTCAGGAATTATGAGAAGAGGGCTGAATTTCTAAAGAAATTTGATTGCGGGATTTAGCTCAGCTGTGCTCTTTTTGGCATCTTCCGTTTGTCCAGACTCCTGTATGAGCTACGGGCTAAATTGAGGTCGGGGGGGGACCTATACGGGACTATATAGGGTTTGGGGGGGACCTACTAAGGGATATACTACAAATTTAATCCAGGGCTCATATAACCCCTTGCCACAAGGCAAGGGTCTCTACAAAATCCTCTAGGATTGCCTTTCTAGACACACAGCACGCAGCAACAGGATGAAGGTCACCAACATGATTGTAGAACATCTTAAGCCACCTTCACTATGGTAACAGGTAACAAGGCAACTGCTATTCACGGACCACGGAAGGTTTCTAACACAGCGTTCTGCATGCACTGGAGGTGGGACTTCAATTTCCATACCTACTTAGCCGTATTGCATATGTCACATGTGCCCTTTGAGGAGTTTGACAACGGTTCAGTTTGATATTAAAACCTTCCCACACCATCCAGCGAACCACCTGCTGCAAATGCAGGTAGCACTCGAAAACCCAAGGCACTAAACCTCTCTAGTCCTGGCTCCGCGCAATCCGCAAGCCCGATCGGGATGCGTCTATAAAGCTTCAGGGCACAGCTGGAATACGGCTTGCACATCTTCAGGAACCATGCGCCGCTTCTCCAGACTCAAATTCTGAACCCCGCAGCCCGTGTCACCTAGTCTATCAACTTGAAACAGTCATGTGTGAGGCTTAACACATCAATACACCAATCCTTAACCCAGAAACCCTCAGCACATACCGCAGGAATCCTAGAACTATGAACCTAAACCCATACATCCCGAGATTCACCACAATCTGCAACCATGAACACTGCGGGTGCCTGCAATCTTGAGCGATCTGGTCCAGTCTCTTCATATATGACTGCCAGGACTCTGCATTCATCACCTGGGTACCCAGACCCTGCTGTGCAGTTGTTTTTGGGCATTATCTTAATATCCCCTACCTGAAGACCTAACAAACCCACAAAAGGAACTACATAGGAGCCCTTGGGTAGTTATCTATCATTGCTGAATTCTAGTCTCTTGAAACCCAAACTACTACTTATCAAACAGGTTTCCACAAATCCGCAGTTTGAGAAACCTGCATACGCATAGGGTTAAGGGAAGCTTCTGGGTCTAGTCTTTACTTGGTAGTTTCCCAAAACGAGGGTACCCCAATATAGACCCCAATATACTGTAGTCCTTATTATAGGGACCCCCCAAAAGGTAGCCCTAATTTTGGGAAACCCCCACTTGGAGGCTCATAGGTTAGTACAACTAGGGCTAAAAGTCGCCCAGCCATACTTTTAGTACCTATACGTGGGCCCCCAAAGCATGTAAAAGAATGGCCTTTATGCCTCTTATTGCCTCTTATTAAGGGTTTAGGGCTATTATCTTACATACTTTTGGGGTTTAGGTAAGCCCACACTTATGAAGTATTGGATGTCAAAGTGTGGGGCCCATCTAACCGCTGACCCTATACCCTTGAGGCTAAGCCCTGGACCTTGACCCCCCGCTGTGATTTCTTGTTGGGATTTGTCATGTTTGTGAGTTAGGGTTCATATTCGGACCACCAAAGAGAAGGTAGTGCATGGGAGGGTCTGGGGTAAACCATGCACATGAACACCACGCCAAACTGACCTTGACAGTAACATCCGAAACCTCGGCTACTGAATCTTGAACCTTCTCCTACAAGGCATGGGTTGCTAATTGCTAAGGAACTTAAATTAACCTACCATAATTTTGGGTATATACTAAATAGTAAGTCTCTCCATTATAGTAGCTTGGCTTAATCTAAGTTCCTTACTTGCAACCCACAATGCCCGCTTGGAGGTTCAGGGGGAATTGCAAAAAGATGAGTTCCAACGCCTAGGGTCGACGATCTAAGGTGGACAGTAGGTTAACCATGGGGATAACTGGGGACATCAAAGAGGGGGTGGTGAGTCTATACTTATTAGTCAGACTTACAAACTCCCCTGACCCTCCCAGCAGGGCAGTCTGAGGGCCTCAGGGTTGGGCTCATGCCAGCTTACACAGGTTTGTGGAATGTCTCGCCTCGGGAGCTACAGATGGATACAAGGGTTTCTCCCAAAAAAAGGCGACCGCTTACCGGCCTTACGTATAGATATGCAAACATTGAGATTGTGGGGCTGCATTAAGAAAGATTCTACGGTCATTGCTTGAAGGAAATACCTACATGAGGTGCAGTACCTTCACCCTCATCACCCAAGTAGAGTCTCATGGGTGGTTGAACCAGGTGTGTAAGATCATAGCGTTCTTATAAGATACTCTGACCCCAGACCCTACACCTTTGACCCAAACCGCATTCTAAAGAAAAGTGACTATGTTGTTTTGTTTGAAGTCAACAGCAAAGTATCCCTGGTGAAACATGCTACTGCGGGAAAGTCCAGGTGGGGAGTAAGCATGTGTGTGCACCAACGTGAGGCTTCGTCTACACGGCCTATAAAAACAAGGAAGTGTATGCTTCAGGGCTCCGTGAGACCTATATGAAAGGTTTAGGGTTTAGGGTTGCGAACCTGGAAATTCTATATCGCTTGTTTGCAGGGCTGCTTTCTGGCCTCCTTTGCCTCAGAAGTGGCTTGATAGCTCGGGTTCTCGGCCGCTTCGGACTCTGGCTGGTACTCTTCAATGGCGTGAGCGATCTGGGGTTGTCAGAATTATGGTCCCTTTTTGGGTACCCTAAGTATACGGTGCCGTATTATAATAGGGCTCCAAAAAGGGACCATAATTTTGACAACCACCCCTCTCACTTTCTTCTAGGCCTCCTTGCGGGCATACGCTTTGGTTTCGGACGGGATCAGGGCACTGCCATGCCCCAGATCCCCATGGACTCCGTAGAGATAACGGTTTTCGCTGACGCCTTCCCGACCAGGGCTTCTGCTGTTGCTGTCTTGACCGTCGTCTGTCGGGCGAACTCGGTTTCTTGCAAAATGGCTCCGCCGCCCAGCAAATCTTCTGGAAGGAGTTCTAAAAATTGTCCATAGCGCCCCTCGCCATCACGAAGATTCATACACAGGGCCTCAAACCTTTGCATCATGATATCGCCAACTGAGTCCACCTTGCCACGCAGAATCAAATCCACTGCCAAAGCAAGCGTGCGCATTTCACGGACAATGCTTTTCGGCTGCTTTTTCGGAAGATAATTTGGGTGAAGGACCCTCCTCAATTCTCCTCATTGAAGGAACTGCCTTCCCAGAGGGTGCATGTACCCAATAATTGGGTACTTGGGATTTGGGTAATAGTAATTTTGGTGAAGGTTTTGGGTAAGTATGTGATTATTAGGTACTTGGACCCTTAGGGGTTTGTTGTTGGGGTAGTTAAAAACATACCGGAAAGATGCGACTGTAGAATACATATGCTTGAAGAGTCCCCCAGAAGACGCCCTAAATCTATAGTCCCCCTTGAGTCGATAGAACATCGGATAGATGGGGGACCTTGTTATGGTTTTGGTACGTCCATATTCTATCTACTTAAGGGGGACTATGTGCTGACAAATGCTCTGCTGCATAGCGAAGTGACGCTCCAGACATGAGGCGTGGCATGGAGATTTCTTCTTTACACGATTTCTGGTTTAGGGTTTCGGGCTTAGGGTTAAGGGTTTAAGGCCCTAGTATACACGGTCACGGGTTTAGGGTCATAAGTGAATTTTGCCGACTGTCCTACAGACCGCTTGAAGAAAAATACATCTAGGAACCCATTTGAGCCATAGTGGAAACTCCTCGCATCCCCCTGAACATCTCCGATACGACTCCCCCATATAACCCCCCGCCCTGTAAGGAGTTTACCCTAGGGCTCTTTTTGGCCCCAAACTTATGCTGTTTGGCTACTTGCAACCTGCCAAAACTAAGCCCAGGTCCGACAATTGTTAACCACAACCCCCCTAAACCCTAAACCCTAAACCCTAATCCCTAAACCGTACACCCTAATCCCCAAACCCCTGA